AGCAATCTGACAATTACAAAAAAAAATTATCACAGATTTTCAATTTTTGATTGTTTCAAAAGTATAAACACACAAGCATAAAATTAGTATGATATTTTTTTTATTAATTATTGGTTTAATTACAGTAGTTGTTACAAATGTGGTGACAATTTTAAACAGTTTTTTGTGATTTAAAACAATGCCTCACAGAAAAATAATAACAGTTAAAAATACATAAAATTTACCAACTAAAAGGAGCAGGACAATCTCCAAGATAAATTTCAGCAGCTGTGAATCGATCTACATGTGCTGTGAAAAATGTGTTAATTCAGGGTGAAAATTATGGCAGAAATAAGCAATGGGGAAAGCCTAAACTCTTTACACCTAGAAATGAAAGGTTAACAAGTTGTCTGTCAGAGAAGCAGCATCAACATAGCCAATTGAAGTTTCATCAGCAACTATATGGAGATGTATGAATAATCATAAAAATACCAAATTTACAAAAATGGCTGCTAAGCTGAAATTAATGCAATTGCTGCACAAAACAGCTAGATTAAAGTGGGCCAAAGACAAGAAAACATGGAAAGAGAAGTGGAAAGAAATAGGCTTTTCAGATTTAAAAAAAATGGAATTTGGATGGACCTGACAGTTACAGTCACTACTGGTTAATTTAAAGTTTATTTAGAATCGTTAATTATTACAAATCAGCAACATGCTGAGCAGCAGGAAATATTAATGAGACATTTTGTACATTGTGTTAGATGACTTATACATTAATTAATAAAAAAAACAACAGATTTATGAAATTGTCATAATAACAGAGATTATTTATGGTAGTAAGATATATACAATTATATACAAGGTATGAAGAAATGGTATACATAAGAAGCATAAACATACAAAAAAGTTAAAGTTACTTTATACTGAATATAGATAGTTTTATGCGAGTTATAAATAAACTATTTACAGCATTAATATTTCAACTTTTACATTTCTCAAACATTGGAAATTATAATTACAGAGAATCCATATAAAAGCTGTACAATTACGGGAGATTATAAAATTGAGTTGATAAAAAGATTACATAATTAACAGAAAAATAATTTTATGAGTATAACAGTTACAATGAAAATTTCTATTTTTTTCATAGAAAGTCAAATGATTATAATTACAGTTGAAACAGAAGTAATTTTATTGCCAGTGATCATTAAATACAAATTTATTATTAACATTTTTTTACATAATATTTTCCATGGCAAAATATAGAGCATTATGTTCCCTATTAGAAAAGTTCTCATGGTCAGCTTTTGGTTTGAAGTTAGCCTCCTCACAAATTTTATTTTTTATAAAAGTTGTGTTTGATTTTTTATTTTCAAAAATAAGGGTGCATCTCACTTTCCAGATGACCCTCTTGGTCAAAGCAGTAACCCAATTAATTAAGTAATTATTTTGGTTTTTAACAAGAAAATTAGAGTGGAACTTAACGATTTGCCAGGAGATACAGGTATTAAAAATTTTGTCTACTCAATGCCAAGTTTGCTCAGCAATGTGAAAGATACTCTCATTGTGATCACACTGAGGACAACAAGAAATACTTACACACTAGTAGGTGTGAAGATATTCCCTAGTCATCACGATGTTCAAAATTTTCCATGAGTTCACACCACTCAGCAGGGAGCCTCCCAACATTTACCCAGGTCTCATTCCAATTGATCATAGTATCCATTAGATTTTTGTTGATACTTTGCTTATGAATATTCATGTAGACAATACTGGGCCTTAATTTATTACTGATTTGGTCATTATTAATTATGGTAGTAACAATTTCTCTCCATTTTTTGTATTTACTGCAGTTGTTGAGAAGGAAGAGGAAATTATCATCATTCTTGGTAATACATTTAACAATAGGACCTAATATATAATGGGCGATGAGAGCAAGAGGATAGTTCTGATTTTTTATAGCATTAACCATATTAGCCAGTTGGAGGGAGTATTCCAGACTCAATGTCCCACACTCTCCATCCTCCCTGATTTAAATTATTTTTCATTATAATTCTTTTAATTGACTCAAAATCACACTGCTGAATATACCTAAAAATTATTTTATTGAGATGTTTGATATCTTTTTTCTCAGATCAGTGATATAAAGGTTAAATATTATTCTGTCAATTAAGATTTTATTTGCAATAGTGACACGGTCAGGTAGGTAAAGCCAAACAGTTTCCCAGTTGAAAATCGTGTTTTTAATTTTATGAGACATGCTCTTAATTAAATTAAGATTGTTTTGATTGCTATCTCTACCATACCATACACCCAAAATTTTGATACTGTTGACAGTACTGATGTTCATGACATCACAAGTAATGTTGCCGTAAATATTAAATTTACTTTTATTTTCATTGATTCTCATACTAGTTAAACTGCTGAACACTTTTATTTTTTCAATGGTTTTGTTGAGAGCCACATTGTCGTTTATAATAAAATTAATGTCATCGGCATGAGCCACATATTTGACGTTATTTTTAAAACCAAGAATGTGAAGCGGAGCTATTATATTGTCACTGTTAATCATTCTCAGAAGAGCTTCAATATAAATCATGAAGAGAATCATAGAACAAGGGCATCCTTGTCTTACTCCTGCATTGCAATTGATGTAATCAGAATCACTGTTATATATGTTGATTTTTGTTTTGGATGCCTGGTACAAGATTTTGATTTTATTAATTTCATTATTGTTTAAGCCTAAAATATCTAGAAGTTTCCAAAGAATTTTCCTATTGACCGTGCCAAAGACAGGATGGAGAGTGAGATTCTCTTTTAACACAAATCTCACAGATTAGATTGGTAAGCATATTATTATTTTGAATAGTGCGGTCCTTGATGCCAGCACTGAGTGTAACCTATATAATCATAAAAGACTATTTCAATTTTTTTAGCAATAATATTACTATATATCTTATAATAGATATTAAGCAAAGTTGTAGGCATATAGTCACCAATGTGTCCATCCTCATTCCCTTTTTTATTTATTAAAATCATTTTTTCCTCATTAAAGTTGGCAGAGAAGGAGTTATGATTGTAAAGTATATAAAAATTGTCAGTAAAATCCTCCCGAAAGTACCGGTAAAATTCCGCAGGCAATCTGTCAACAACTGGAGCCTTTCTAATATGAAGTTCATTAATAGCATCTTTAATTTCTTCTTTTGATATGATTTTATTAATGTAATTATCATTTTTGTCTTTGACAGGATTAACAAATTTTGTGACTTCATCCCAAAGATTCCAGTCAGTTGGGGTTCTTTGCATAGATTGGTATAAAAAATCTGGAATTCTTTTAAAATTTTATTTTCGTCTTTGATAATATTATTATTAATGATTAATTTGTTTAAATTAAGTTTCTTTATTTTTATTTATCTTTTTGAATATTAAGTTTTCAGCCTGTTTATTGATGCCTAATTTGTTCATTTTGTAACTTAAGTAATTGTCTTTTACCTTTTTTTCAATTTCAGCACTGATCTTGCTCTCAATACTTTTAATATCATCGTATTTATTTTCAATAATTTTTGTACTTAATTCCCTCTGAAGTAATTTAATTTTATTGAAATTATTGTGTTTTATTTTCTTCCAGGTAGATTTTATAACATTGTTTATTTCCTTTTTTTCAAATTGCCACTGGTCCCAGTTTGTATTTATTTTATTGCTGTCTAGGATGTTTTTGATATCTATTTGAAAGAATAGATCAGTGAGAATTTCATTTGTGAGCTTTATTTTGTTTATTCTTTTATTTGCTTTATTTATATTAATATCAATGTCGAGTAATTTGTGGTCAGTCACTACTGACATGATTTGAGGAAGAATGAAGAAATCATAATGAGCAAACAGCAAGGTGGGGGATCTGTGATCACATGGGCAGGATTCAGATGGGGTAAAACAGACATTGTATTTATAGAAGATAGAATGAATTCAGAAAAGTATCAAGAACTGTTGTATCAAAATTTAATAACTTTTGGATCACTTATTGGGGAGAAAACTGGCAATTCCAACAGGATAATGCTGACATTCATGTATCAAACTCAACTAAAAATTGGTTTTCTGAAAAAAAAATTAATGTAATTGATTGGCCATCATGGAGCCCTGATATGAACCCAATACAGAATGTTTGGGGCATTATGAATCATCTTGTTTATGGGCAAAACAGACAATATGTTATTATAAATGATCTGAAATTAGCTAACATGGATTGTTGGGAAAATATTAAACAAGAACACTTTCAAAAACTAGTAAATATGCCTGATAGAGTATTTGACTTAATTAAATCAAATGGTAGACCTACAAAATATTGAAACATTACAAAATCAGTTTTTTATGCACCTGTTTTTGTACTTTTGAAACAATCAAAAATTGAAAATCTGTGATAATTTTTTTTTATAATTGTCAGATTGCTCTAAAAATTTCAGAAAATGTTTGAATTGATGTTGAAAACAACATACTAATATAATAAATACATTATTATTGTTAATGTTTTTGTTATTGAAAAAAGTTGGATGTGTTTATAATTTTGAAACTGACTGTATGTAGTATTATTATTTGATGTTACAATTCCTAATTTAAAAACATTTGATAATTGCATTGTAATCACATTAACACATTATATAGTGCAAATGAAATAGAATTAAACTAACATTACATTCTTTTTAACTTGACTCAGAATTAATGAAATATGTAATATTTATATCATAGTTAAATATTAATTAAAGTTAATCAATAATCATCATCAATTTGTAACAAATGATGATAATATTACCATATACAGGATGATTCACTTGGTACTGAACACATTATGTGGACTATCTCTATATAAAATGAAAAGATGAACATAAGTAGGACAATTCTTCATTTCATGAAGCAATTGATTAAGGTATGTTTCACATTACATTTTATTCAAATGTGACTATGCAATCATGAAGTATTGAACAATAAGTATTCAGTCCTGACTGAATCATCCTATATAAAGAACCAACCTGTTGTGGATCCTACAATTCCAGTATTCTGATCTACAGCTTCTAAAAATTGACCAATAACTAATGGTACACTTTGGATACGCTTCACTTCTTCTTGGGCATGTAAATATTCCTTTTTTAAATTCTTTTGTTCATCCTTAATATATTCTTCTTGAACTTCAAGAAATTCCAATTGTCTTTGCAGTTTCTATATAAATAGATATATCAATTTTAAATTTGAAAAAACATATTCACCACCTAACACATAAAATGGACAACACACAACAATCCAGCCAACACGCTTCAGTGGCAATCTAGCCACTGATCACCAAAACCAGAAAATCATGTCAATAGATGAAGCTGACTCAAGAAATAAATGAATTTATAATCTATATCTACTTTACTATGACAAAACTCAGAAGAGACATGACAGCATACATACAAACACTAAACAACAAATTCACACAAATATCCACATCTTACTGTTAAAGAGGGTTGTTAATTAGAAAATTAAAGAAATTTTTTAAGCTAGGAATAACATTCCTTTAAAAGAAAGTTATGAGTTTCATTTTAAAATTCATATAAACAGACACTAGACATCATCTGTTTTCTTAAAAGAATAGTTCTTTTGTTGTAAATAGATATAAACTAAAACAAATTTTTATAACTCTTATTTAAACTGCTGAGATCTTTGATATGTTATAATCATATCATTTTCATCTCATTTAAACAAACTTTTTTTAATTTGCTTATGATGACCATTAAGTTATGGACCTAGTTATGGAATTATGAACTATTGCTAGTTGTGATTGATTGAATTGGTGTTGATTAAGGGTTTTTCTTCTGCAGGTTCTTTTCTCTAATCAGATTGTTTGAGATTTAATATTGTTAGTAGCACTAATAAGCATTTTATTGTAGTTAATATTGAATTTGAAATTTGTAATATTTGAGCTTCATACTAAATATTTTTGTGCAAATTAAAACTTTTGTTTTGTAGTTCAAAAAAACCCAGTATTGGCATTTATTATTTCTTTTGATATTTCACAAACTCTGGTGCAAGGGTCATTTCTTTAACATTTTAGACCTTGCAAAGAATTCACTGATATATCATTGTTTTCGAATATGGTATCATAAAAATTCTTACCTTATATTTTGTGTATAAATCTTCTAATTCTGAATCTTCAGGATTTGGAAGATTCAAAACTGGCTTTGGTTCAATTTCTTCCTGTAATAAAATATAAATTATTTTAAATCAAAACAGAAATATAAATAAACTTAAATTTATTATTTTAATGTTTAGATAGTTTTGAAAAACTTTTTATGAATGGTGACTTTATCATTCATAAAAAATATAAAATTTACAGAATTCATTTATATACAGTGGAACCCCGGTTAACGAACGTCCTGGTTAACGACCAAATCGGTTAACGAACTTTTATTTTGCAAAAATTTTGTCTCGGATAACGAACGTAACGGTATTTTGTGTCAAATTTTAGTTGGTGTTAGGCATGCGCGAGTTAAGCATTGCTTTTCCGAGTGTTTGTGCTATACTTTGTTTTTCAGTTTTGTGATTTATATATTTAATCAATATGGCATCCAAGAAAGAAAAAAGTCATAGTGGCAATAGAAAACGACAACGCAATATAAACTACAATGCGTTATCGCATTTGAGAAAAATTTTGATTAAAAGAGTAAGACAATCAACNACTCTAGAATGAGTTGTCGGATCTTGATGAAATTTTCTAGGACGACTCATCATCACTCAAAAATGAACTGATTAAAATTTCAATTCTCAAAAATGATCCATTTTTGTAGAACTGGAGATAGGGTCAAAACGAAGGTCACGTTTTCCTTCAGTATTAGAGGTCAAAATGAGTTGACTAAGGCTACATCCTACGTGGCAGTATCTATTTATTGAGTCTGTTTATCCAGAGATGAACTTGATCAGTTCCAAATGGCAGTAGAGCTATATCCAACAAACAAACAAGCAAGTTAAACAAAGCAATGAAGACTACTTGTAGTCAACTGGATGCCCTGTTACTTATATAGCATCTGAAAACACTCCAGATATTGCTCTGCCTTCATCCAAAGATGACTCAACTCTTGGTCTCTCCAAGTATTTTAATCTCTCAGTTAATGCCAGAATCATGATGAGAGTCAACTTATGGGTGCAAGGAGGTCTCGTCAATGGTTCACTAGGAACTATATGTTACATTACATCTAATTATACCTGTTACTATACATTACATTGCTCCTAATGCTCGCCCTCCTGCTCTTCCTCTGTTTATTTTAGTGGAATTTGATAGTTATCAGGGACCTTTCATCTATGGTAATCTGTTTCCAATAATCCCCATAACACTCTCTTTGAACGATGGCAGTATATTGCAATCTTGTAGACAGTTTCCCCTTACTTTAGCATACTTGATGACTATACATAAATCATAGTTACTATACAATTTTTTCAAATTTTAAAAGCAATTTTTTTTTAATTGTAATTTAATTTTTTCCCTGTAAATATAAATACAATTCTACAGTAATAATAACTAACTTTACAATTAATTTTTTTTCTAATTTCTAAATAAATAAAAGAAAAATAAAATACTCAAATTAATTTTTGGGCTGTACTTTTATTCATTGGGCTGCATTTGAAAATATTGTAGACCTATAAATTTCTACTATCATTCGTCTGTCTTTCCTTAATCTCGAGAACAAAGTTAGATAGATGAAAGTTTAGACTAGATGTCAAAACCTTAGGGGTAGGGGTTCCCAATTAACTATATACAAACATCTGATACAAATTAGAAGTCACGTTATTTCAATCCAAAACTTTCTCCTGAAAGCAGTTAATAGAAGACCAGCTTGACACTATTGTTAAAAGGAAAAGCATGATGTACAGGGGCAAGACACTGCAGTAGTAATTTGATATGGAGAACATATTTTAAATTTATTTAATATAAAATATGATTAAAAATTGCAGCCCGGCATTATAACAATGTCACAAATAATTTCTTGTTACAAATTAAGAAACAAGCAAATTAATTTTTTTTAATAAGAAATACAGTAGAGCATTGATTATCCGACTCAATTGGGGACTGGGGTTGGTCGGATAATTGAAAAGTCGGATAACTGAAAAGTATGAAAAAATCCATTATTAGTGTAGTATATTATTATATCCCATGTAATTAGTATATTGCTATTAACCTACTTCGCGTTGAATTTTTCTCCATGTTAAGCCTATCAAATTTCTTTTTTAAATAATAATTGTCGCTATTGTATCGTTAAAAATTATTTTATTGCTCACAAAACAAACAACCACTCATAATTAGAAAATTAAGCCTCTTTTCAATACTGGCCTCCCTTTCATGGTCGAGCCAGTGTTGCCAGTTAAAACACACAATAATTTAACAAAAATAATATTAAAGTAGCCAATACATAGCCAAATATTGTAGTGCCACATCACTAGCGGACATTTGAATTTGCTGACTAGAATGCGGTCGGTTAACTGAGGTGACAGTTAATCGGGGGTAGGATAATCGATGCTCTACTGTAGTATTAAATCATAAGATAATGCTTTCATTTAGAATTTTCCTTGAACTAAATCAAACTTCCTAAAATTTAAATCCAAACTACTCATAAATATGAACCAATAAAAACAAGTAAAATGGCAAAGCCATTTTTGGGACAAGACTATGTCTCAGAGTGTGAGCAATGCATATGCAAATCTCACACTCGTGCCTGTTTATAGAAAGTCTCAGCATTTTGTATTTTCTTTTGACTCGGTTCTCAGTCCTGACTACCTAAAGTCTAGTTTATTTTACATGTGCATGATTTGGCACCAAATACTCTGTGCCAAATTGTAACTCCTGACATGAACTGTACTGTACTCTTTCATACCTCTAAGGTGTGCAGNAATTTGAAAACATTGAAGGAAAAAAAGGCAAAATGATAAATCATCATTAGTTTTTATTTCATTAACAAAATCAGAAAAGCAATGCTGTTTTGCATAAATATGACAAAACTTTGCACAGTTAAGCTAGTGCTAACATATTAGGCTACTTATATATTATTTTAGTCAATGGACAGCCATTGACAGCAGTGTAATTTTAGAGGCAAGGCGTAGTCTTATCTATTAGATCTATCTTAATAATTGACATCTTTTTAACTATGATTATTAAATTGATAAAACCAAATGCAAGTAATTTTTGATAATAAAAGAATTTAATAAATTTTTCAAAGTGTATTCATTACGAAATGTATAATAGAACAGATATAAATTTTTGACTAAATAAACATTACTTTTATTACATTTTGGAAAAAGATCTATATTTAGATGATGTGAACAACTAACTTAAAACAACATGAAAATACTCAAACACTTTTTAAAATAGTTTTATAAGGTACTGTACAAACAATTGGGAAAGGCATTAAGTTGATAAATATCTTTTATTTCAAATAAAATCAGAACTGTAATGTTTACAGTGAAAGAAAAACAGTTTTGATATAGTACCATAATTTTATGCAAATAACCAGCATTGGTGCATATTTTGCAAAAAATTGCTACCCACACCTTGATATTTTGCACACACCACTTTGTATCCTCATTGGTCACTGAAAGCATTATACTTAACTGCATGAAGTTTAAAACATATCATTTCAAATATTAAAACATTGTTTTTGGTTTTATTTCTGTTAGCAGTTCATTATAAATGAAACAAAACAAAATACTGAAAAACTACTAAAAATGGTTGCCAAATGACAACTTTTTTCAATCAATTCATTTTTTATTTATTTATCCTAAAATCATTTTATTATATATTTGATTTAATTCTGGATTAGAATAGAAATAATTGTCAAAATAAATTAGAAAATAATTAGCAATAATTTGGATACTATGAAATAAATTTAAGAGCATTCAATTCTTATTCATTATAAAGAAGTATACTTCATTCAATAAAAGATGTGCTTCATTATATGGTAATGATATGATGGAATGTAATGGTCAAACCATCCAATAGGTTACTAAAATTCTATTTTGAAAATTATACAAAATTTTATTTTACTACTAGCTTCTAACTTAAAAATTATTTAATATTTGAATTGTAAACAATGTCACTTTACTTTATTGTTGGAGCGAGACAAAGCTTAGTGATGACTAACACTTGACTTCATGCATCCCTTGTCAACATTATAACTCTAGAATGAGTTGTCCAATCTTGACCAAATTTTCTAGGACAATTCATCATTTCTCAAAGATGAACTGATTAAAATTTCAACTCTCAAAAATGATCCATTTTTGTAGAACTGGAGATAGGGGTCAAAACAAAGGTTGCGTTTTTCTGCAGTATTAGAGGTCAAAATGAGCTAAGACTTCATCCTACATAGCCTTAGCTCATTTATCCATTTATCCAGAATCTATTTATCCAGAGATGAACTTGATCAGTTCCAAATGGCAGTAGAGCTATATCCAACAAACAAGCAAGTTAAACATAGCAACAAAGACTACTTGCAGTCAACTGGGTGCCCTGTTGCTTATATAGCATCTGAAAACACTCCAGATATTGCCCTGCCTTCATCCAAAGATAACTCAGCTCTTGGTCTCTCCAAGTATTTGAATCTCTCATTTAATGTCAGAATCTTGCTGAGAGTCAACTTATGGGTGCAAGGAGGTCTCGTCAATGGTTCACTATGAACAATACGCTACATTATATATGCTCCTAATGCTCACCCTCCAGCTCTTCCTTTGTTTATCTTAGTGGAATTCGATAGCTATCAGGGGACCTTTGATCTATGGTAATCTGTTTCCAATAATCCCCATAACACATTCTTCGAACAATGGCAGTATATTGCGATCTCATAGACAGTTTCCCCTTACCTTAGCATACTTGATGACTATACATAAATCATAGGGATTAACTCTTCCAAAAATCAAAATAGATATAGGTAAAAAAGAGATAGCTAACGGTCTTACCTATGTTGCATTCAGCAGAGTGGAAAAAAAAACTGACACAGTATTTTTAAACAGTTACAATAAAGATCAGTACGAGTCAATCTGTAAGTTCAAGGCCCATAGTGATAGACAGAATTTCACGATACATTGGTATAGCAATTAATTAATGGCTTATTCTGACCATTATATTTGTATCTTTAAATGATACAATAGAAATCAAATATACTGTTGAGAACAAATGATTCTCTCTCTTTTTTTTTTCCCTCACAATCTAGAAA